GCATGCAGTTCGACCGCGGCTACCTGTCCGCCAACTTCGTCACGAATGTCGACGAGATGAGCGTCGAGCTCGAGAAGTGCCTCGTCCTCGTCCACGAGGACAAGATCGAGAATATCTCCAAGCTCGTCCCGCTCCTCGAGAAGGTCATGCAGGCCAAGAAGCCCCTGCTCATCATCGCCGAGGACGTCACCGGCGAGGCGCTGAGCACGCTCGTGATCAACAAGCTCCGCGGCACGCTCCAGGTCGCTGCGGTGAAGGCGCCGGGCTACGGCGACCGCCGCAAGGCGATGCTCCAGGACATCGCGGTCCTCACGGGCGGCAAGGCCTTCATGAAGGACCTCGCGACCGATCTTGACCAGATCAAGGTCTCCGATCTCGGCCTCGCCAAGAAGATCGAGATCACCTCGGACAACACCATCATCCTCGAGGGCGCCGGCTCGACGAAGGACATCCAGTCCCGCGTGGAGCAGATCCGACGCGAGATCGAGGCCGCCTCGAGCGACTACGACCGCGAGAAGATGCAGGAGCGCCTGGCGAAGCTCGCGGGCGGCGTGGCGCAGATCAACGTCGGCGCCGCCTCCGAGGCGGAGCTGAAGGAGAAGAAGGCCCGCGTGGAGGACGCGCTGCACGCGACCCGCGCCGCGGTCGCCGAGGGCATCGTCCCGGGCGGCGGCGTGAGCTTCATCCGCTCCCTCGGCGCCATCGAGCGCAACAAGGACTGGAAGGCCGTCTTCGGCAAGAAGACCGAGGTCACCGCCGAGGACGTCGGCCAGGCGAACTACGACTTCGCGTCCGGCATGGAAGTCGTGCGGCGCGCGATCCAGGTCCCGCTCCAGACCATCGCCACCAACGCCGGCGCCCGCGGGACCGTCGTGGTCTCTCGCGTCGCGGAGGGCGACGAGAAGATCGGCGACACCTACGGCTTCAACGCCCTGACCGACACCTACGGCGACATGATCAAGATGGGCGTGCTGACGCCCGCGAAGGTCGACCTCTCGGCCCTGCAGAACGCCGCGTCCGTCGCGACCGTCCTGCTCACCGCCGACTGCATCATCACCGAGAAGCCCTCGGACGACGACGGCGACGCCGGCGGCATGCCGGGCGGCGGCATGGACCCGATGGGCGGCATGGGTGGGATGGGCGGTATGGGCGGCATGGGCATGCCCGGCATGGGCGGGATGGGCTTCTAAAAGATGACCACCCCGCGCACTCCATACCACGACCCCTCGCAAACCCCGCTCTCCGTCGAGAGCGCGGTGCGCGCGTTGCATGAGATGGAGGGCGATTTCGAGGAACTCGCCGAAGAGCGCAGCCACAAGGCGTTCACCCACATGGCGTCCACGCTCCGCGAGTGCTGGGACACGCTCTGCGACGTCTGGACCATCGAGGACGCGCCCGCGAGCGGGTGGCTTCACATCGTGGTGAAGCTCCGCAAGCAGGGCAAGCTCAACGACCGGGAGTACATCGTCGGCCTCGTCGATGGGTGGCTCCAGCAGGCCGAGTCCCTCCTCGTCGCGAGCGACGAGAAGTTCCTCAGGGCGCACGACGACATCCACTCGTCGATCTGGAAATGTCTGAAATCATCGCACGGCAAGCTCCTCGCGAGCCTGTCGAGCATCGAGAAGAACAAGTCCGCGTGAACTCACGCGATAGATCAAGAAGAAAAGGAATCAGAACCATGGCCGTGAAACCGCTTGACGATCGAATCCTGGTGAAGCCCGTCGAGGCGAGCAACGTCACCGAGTCCGGCATCTACCTCCCCGAGTCCTCCAAGGAGCGCCCCGTGCACGGCAAGGTCATCGCCGTCGGCCCCGGCAAGCTCCTGGACAACGGCCAGCGCGCCAAGCCGAGCGTGAAGAAGGGCGACACGGTCGTGTACGGCAAGTACGCGGGCTCGGAGGTCGAGATCAAGGGGGATGAGCACCTGATTCTGCGGGAGAGTGAGTTGCTTGGGGTTCTCGACTAAGGCACTAGGCACTGGGCACTAGGCACTAGGAAAGACGCCGGGAGCACGATGGCAACCGCGACCGTGAGGGAGCGGGCACG